TTCCATTTTGACGGATTCTATGGCAGCGTAGGCAACGGGGTCTGCAACAGAATATGTGGACGGTTATTTAGGGGAAGTGTAAGATCGGCTTTCTCTTTCATAAAGACCTCCACTGAATACTAAAAAATATTTACTTTTTCTTCAGCTCTTCTTCCACACTGGAGCTATGTTTACTAACCTATCACCATTTCTATCCGATGCAGTATATCTTCGTTGTTTTGTATGCACTCGTTCACAGATGCCTTGATGTATATCCGCGTCGCGTTGAACACTTGCAGCAAGCTTCAGAAATCATTGTGAAAAGACACGTCTCTTGAAATCGCTCTTGTTATGTTGTTTTTTGTCGTTGCCTTGGTACTTTCTTCTTGAAGTCTTGGTACGCTCAGCTGCTTTTCTGACTCACAAGGTTGCAGAATTTCTCTTGCTTGCCTCTTGTCTTGCACTTCTTGCAGAACCACGACTTATTTCTACATTTCCTTGCGTAGTGTTCTAAAAATCAACGGATGTCGGCGATTGTCTCAAAATCTCTTCTGAGACACAGAAAGCTTTTGCATTCCTCTCAAAACTCACAGAGAAGTTTTCTAACCTTCCTTGTATTTCCAAGTATTATTTAACGAATCGTTGCCGGTATTCTACTTCTGGTTGGCTATATCCCGAATATCCGGAGCAAGCATTCAATACCATCCGAATCTGAGTCATGAAGTGTTACTTCCTCACAAAATTCACACTTCCTGCGCCCAGTTGCGGCTGTGCTTGCTCTCTCTGTTGTTGCAGTTGCGATTGTGTTTGCTTTATTTGTTGTCCAAGCATCTCTTCAAGGATTCTCGTCGGTTGAGTTTAGCCATTCTTGGGCTCCTTGATCGCCAGTTATTAAGTCTTCACACTCCGTGGGACAAACCATTCATTGTAGTCTAGGACATAACACAAAAGCGTTAGACCCTACAGATCAGCTTATTCAGGCTAGAATGGCTGATGACAAGCTGTCCACAGGTGTCCTCTATCTATCCGCGAGTGAAAGGATACCTCTCTCACAGAAGTAAGCAACGTTCGACGTCAAGAATCAGTGGATGTCTGTTTTGAGGTGTTCGCGATCTTCGTAGTTTTCTCGTTAAGGAAACGAGCAAGCAAGCGGAACAACTGGTGCTTGGTTGTTATACCTTTCTGGATTATGAAGAAAACGGGGAAAATCATGGGGCCAAGTTTCTGCATAGTATTCTGGCATTCCTTCGTTTTATATGGGTTGCGATCTGCATTAGGATTACTTCACGCGAGGAAGAATCACTAAGAAACTGGATAAAGGAAGATGTGTCCAGGAGTTGGTGTTGATCACAGCATTGTTTTGTGCTCTTGGGGAACAATAGAGGACCGCAGCTGCCCAACATGCTGCCGGAAGAAGAGTCGGTGATGAATCACGATCAACCGCAACACCAGGTGATTGCTGCATTTTGCAGCAGGACCTGAGAACTTTGTTGGGTTGTGAAAACATTTATCAGGATTGTAAGACATGTAGTCCTAGCCAGAACAGTGACACAATGACCGCATAGATGGTCTCTATGTCCAGCAATACGTGGTATTCCTTTGACAACCCGCGCATCGATGGGAACATTTGCTAGATGCCAAGAGGGAACGGACCTATGATTGAGAGGATCCCCTTCTCTCCCCAGTCGAGATGAAACTAAGTGTGAGCAGTGATTCCGGACTCACCCGGATATAACGAGAATGGGACATGTAATGTACCCAGGACCATCTCAACATGATTGTTTTGATAGTCCATGCGATATGATGTGGGGAGGCATAAAGTTGTCGGGGCGTACTGATCCCCAACTCATGATCGCGTTACACTTTCTGATCAACGTGATTGTGGTGCTTGTACTCCTCTGCTCATGTGCATCTTCTCAGAGGGTGCGTTTGATCCAACTTCATCGGTGTGTGAGACAATGTGCGAGCGCGTCGAGCAGGCAAGGTGGAAAATGAAACGCGAGAACCTCTGGCGATTAGATGAGCCTTTCCACTTCTCCCTCTCGAGCCCTATGAAGCCCGTGTAGCACGATTTAGGAGAGCTATTGTAGTGCACACCTATGCGCCAATAACTTCCAGCGACCGTCAGAGGTGGAGGAGTGAGACACTTCTCCACAAGAACTCTCAACCAACCTTGTGGCTAGTAGAGCACGTAGCAGAGCAAGCTATTGCAGTCCGTAGTGTTCATACACCCATCAAGAACCAGCTCCTCTCTTTTGAATGTCTACCATGAGTTGGAGTAGCCTCACCATCAACCGCTTCAGTCTTTGAAGAAAAATGTCTTTTCCAATCGCCCATTGCGCTTTTCTGTCAGTAACTCTCTGCACTGTACTCGCAACATTTACTTCTATATATGTGCCAAATTTGGTCCACCTAGGATTACTTAGCAGTGAGATATCATGTGAAAGTTACTTCGGTCCTTAAGTTCCGCACACCAGTGCACTACCCCTTCTTTGTTCGGTTGATTTCCACCCTGATGCGACCCTTATCGGTGCCATCCTCTTCAACCCTTACGCTATCTGTTTAACGGCTAGAGTTAGCCAGTCGGTGAGCATACCGCGCTGATAGCGCTACAGACAAGGTCATGTGAGATTGCCTGGGGCATATCTTTTGCTGCGAATTGCGTGTCGGTCCGTATCCTTGGGAGGTCGCCTGCTTTTCCACTAATTAACTTTCTCCTTCTTCGACTTTATCGTGGAATCCTTAATGTGGGGGTTAGTGTACTGAGAAGATAATTAAAATGCTTGGCTATCTGACGATCACATGAAAAGGAACAACATCGGGATCAATTATGGAAGTTCCAAATTTCTCACAATACCACCCTCTCGGAGGCTGAATTTACGATGCAAAGACAGCCTATCAGAGATCGAGGTAGAGGTGGTCAATGAGACAAAAGTCGAGAAAACGGCCTAGAAGCCGAGAAATGAGACCTCTTCTTGCTTGTTGATTTGAGCGTTGAGTGTGTCTGATCGGTGCTGACGCATCACTGCTGAAGTTCTTTCTACGAATGCGGACAGAGTCAGACGGTTGTTCTAGGCCGCTGGGGGCATGCCCTTCGCTGCGAAACCCATCACTGTCCCGCCTTGTTGAAGGGAGTCGCCTGCATTTCCACATGGTTTTTTTCCTTCTTCGACCTCCGACGTGGAACCTTCCTTCAGGAGAGTCTCGACACGACTGCAGCTGGAGGAGGTTCACTATATGAACCCTACCACCATTAGATAATTTCCTTTTTCATTATGACTGCGCTGCAGTATTTGTTTCTGATGCGACACCAAGTGAATTCCAACTGCGCTAAACTTCTTCTGAAATTTCTCCAAGTGGGAGGTCCTATTATCTCTTTAAGCGGGTAACTGTTCAAAACTGAGACATCCTGATCCTATAATGACCCTTCAATTTCGCCCACCACGCCGCTTCTTAAAACGCAAGTACATTCCGCCCTACCAATCACAAATGGCAAGAACCAAAAACACCTCTCCTCTTTAAAAAATCTCAAATAGTACAGCGTTGAATTTAGCACTGTGGCTGAACCTACATGTGAACCTGTCAGAGCTAGGCGTCCTGTTACGTCATGTTTTGACTTTTTTTTGAAATTTTTCCTTCTCTTTTTCTTTCTTTCTTTTTCTTTCAATTTGTGTAATGCGGCAGCTTGAACACGGGGCTCATGAGGCTCTATGTGGGTTACGTCCCCCTTCCGTGGATCAGTCCACTCCGAGCTACACACTAGTGCCTCCTCTTCCTTACCTATTTTTCCGGTTTGAAAGGACTGAACTAAAAAGTTATGGCCTTCCCATGTTTGCTCCGGTGCTTGTCCAGTCCACGGTGAACGAATTCCGCTCAGGTAGTGCTCTGGACATTATGTAGCAAAGAGGTTATTGTTAATTATTGTTTTGAAGAAAAAACCATTTTTTTTCTCAGTTTTGTGGAAGACTGCCTAACCATGAGTTGAAACGCGCCTGAGATGGACCGATAGCTCTATGATTCATTTGAAGCTCACATCCCCTCTTAAAGGGCGACGAAAAGATTTCTAAAGCAATGGCAAGAGGTAGACAGATTTCAACTAAACCTGTGAGAGAATGAGAACGGAGCAACAACACTCGAAGAGTGTAGAGAGTGACGAAAGAAGGGTATTGACCGAAAAGGTCATCGAAGCCTAGAGAAAACTGCCAAACAAATCGGAACTTCTTAAATCTGTTCGAATAGTAGTAAAAGTAAAGCGTGGAATTGAACGTTATCGAATGGGCAAAATCGGAAGAAAAATACAAGAAGTTACGGGATTTTTTCAGGGATGATGCGCTTCTTGGAAGTCTATTGATTTCACAACAAAAGCTCACCGTTCAAGCAGAGAATTTCAGAATTATCTTCAATCTTCAAGGCTATCTCTTAGAAATATCCGTAAATGGAAAATAATAGCAAGAATTTCGTTACTCGGATGTTTATTGACTTGTGACTGTATCAGTGCTTCATCTAAGCCTCTACAGGTTCTATCGAAATGGGAACCTCAAAAAAGCTGTGGCCCCTGGCGCAAAATCGTGGGAAATTTTATGTTTCTGCAGCAATGGGTTCCATTTCATAGATTGACGATGAATTTGTGGTCTGTTTGCAGTCCGAATTTGAATCCATTAGGCTTCTGCGTTTGTGGCTTCATTGAAGAGTCAAAGAATCGGAATGCGAAAGCCTTGGTGAATTTCAGAGGAAATATCCAAAATTTGGGACAAATTAGGCGTTGAACACCTGCGCACCAACGACTATATGTATGAAAAATAGGCAAAATATGAATGAAAAAATAAAAAAATATGAAAAATAGGTATATCAGAGTTGTTAGTGGCCACTTGAAATCTCCTTTACAATTATTGAACATTACACTTCGATGTTTTATAAACTCAAATGCATTCATTTTGGTGAACAAAAATAAAGTTGGCGAGTTTTTCATAGCGCACGTGATCTTTTCGCCGTTTTATTCTTCTTCATATTTTTTTTAGTAGGGAATAAAACAAACCTTTAGCTTGTTGTGCAGGAATACAATCAGGTAAATTACTGGAAGTCTGCGTGGAGGGCGTCTCTGATAGCGTGGTTTGTTGAGAAGCTGACGATGACGCATATGCTCCTCCCGAGGAAGCCGTTGATTTGGAAGCAGCTGATGGTGTGGTTCCTCCTGATAAAGCTCGCTTAGAGGGTGCTGATGAGGTCATAGTGGCCACCTCACCATCACCAGCAGCAGTTTTGGTTGAACTTAGAGTTGGTGGCGCCGTTTGTGTCCGTGCATTAGTGGAAGGTGAAGCCTCAATCGCGGTACTTGTTGTAGTCGTCTGAGCTGCATCAGTTCCGCCTGATGCCGTTGGAGCCGTATCAGTAGCGCTCGTTACAGTCCAGGCAGACGCAGACCCACCAGGAGGAGCAGTCTGATCAGTTCCCTGAGTCTGCTGTGTCGTCATGTGACTGGTTTGACTGATAGTACTCTGTGTGCACAGTGTCGCTCCTGGGGTGGTCGATTGTGGTGCTGGAGTTGTGAACATCGTCCGGTTGGGGGCTGGACACGGAGGAGGAGTTGGCACTGGTATGTCGCCTGTCGCTTGAGCCATGTACTTGCCTAGACCCAGTGAACCGTGAAGAACCTGAAAGGACAGGATGAATCAGTTTACGGTTGCCACTGATTAGTGGAACAAGCAATGGAACGCACGCAGACTTCTCTTTGTCAGCTGTGATTGGCTAAATAGCGCTCGTGTAAGCATCAGCTTTTTAAAGGATACCCCTGGAGAAAATGGGTGCGTAAGAGCATCAATAAAGAAGTTGATAAATGGGGAGTATTTTGGGAAAGAAAAGGAAGCGGAGGGAACCACGGGTCACGTCCCGGACAGCCCCTCCTCTCTTCCAGCAGCACTCCACCTTGAAGTGGAGAACGCAAGTGATCGACGAGTTCATAGCCGCAACAGTTGCTATACTTCGATCTTGTACTTATCTAAAAGTGATGTAGCTTCTACATCGTCTATAACGTTGCATGAGGTAGCGGCCGTCATCCGTTTATTCTTGCGGTAACCGCGTGGGCGGGGAGGAACGTGGGAGTCTACGATTGGAGGTTCATAAGATCACGCACTACGCAATTGTGAGGAGGTGGCACAACCTTCCTATGTACGGACGTAACACGTACACTCGCGGCCTGGCTCCTGTAGTGAGCCTAATCCCAGAGCTCGCATTTCAAGGAAACTTGTTGTTTAATTTGGTGCGATAATTTGACCCTTTGATGTGCGAGTAGCAGTGAGGTTCACGGGCAATTGTGCGCTTCCTGCGGTCGATTGCGTTTGTTATGCAATACGGCGTGTTCAGCATTGTTAGAACCTCTTCATTATATAAACTACGAACTCTGTTGTCGGTTTGTTTGTAAGTTTGTCTGTCTGTCCGTCCGCAAAATGAAGTGAGTGATAAGGCAGCTAATGGAGTAAACAGGCCGCTAACAAATCTGGGTAGCTCGCAGGCTTGCCTATCAATGTTTTGCAATGGCATGATAACATCCCAACGGCTATAAAGACACCTACGTAACACACTCCCGCTTATTCCACTATGTGACGCAGTGATAGCTCGCATTTCGAGGAAACTGTGAGTGGAGAGCAACCGAAGGGGAGAGGAGGATAAGGGGAGGAGGAGGAACTTAAATATTACGCAGAGAAAGGGAGATTTCGGCGGTCGCCGGGGACCATTCTGTGGTTTCTAAGCTAGAATCTGTCGGCTTGTCCCATGCGCTATTGTTTCTTGTCAATTTTTAAAACCGAGTTACAGCTTCGAAAGAACTGCGCCCATTTTTGTGCAAAGCGCGCATGCCGCATTAATATTTGGCCTCCCCGCCTTCACTGACCTCTATCCACCTACTTCCCGTTCTCCAGGACTTCTCGAACCCGAATTATGAGGACTTGTAGAAAACGCTGTACACTTCAGAGCGCTCCGCCCATTGTGGGCGGGCCTCCGCCCACGTCATGTATGCTGGAACACCTTAGACATTGCTCCCCTACACCAATTTTTTCTGCTCTGTAGGCTTTCTCCCAACCGAGTTATGAAATTTTTCATAAAGCACTGCTTTTTTGGAGAACGCCCCGCCCACCGGGGTGGGTCTCCCTAATTCGATGTGGCTTACCAATGCACACCTTTACCCACTTTTTCCCAGTTTCGAGGCTGTTTTGACTGAAATCTGGTCGTCAGTACACTCATTTCGATGCACGCCACGCCCACTGTGGGCGGGGCTCCGCTTAGCTGATGTGTGTTTTGTACTTCTCGAGACCTGGGGGTCTCTCCAGACGGATCTCCAAAAGCTAGGGGATTTCGTGGCATACATACAGAACGACAGACAGACATGACTGTGCCAAACGAAGCGCTTCATAGTCAGTAAACAATTGGCGCCGCCGCGTTGCGCGCACTACACAGTTCTGCGGCGATATGGGATAGCGTGAATTCTCAAATTTGACCCGATCTACGAATATTTGACTTCTGAGCTAGTTTCTATCCGCTCCATCCACCGATGGCTTTTGACCTCTCCTCTCTTGTCAACCATTGTCCGCTTTTTCCCGGTCTCCGGCTGCCCCTAATCGATTTATTAGGTCGAAATTAATGCAGGTTTTTGACCTCTATTTTCAAAAGGCATATTTCCACTCATACTCAACCTTTCCTGTCGTAGCAAAACTGTTGGAAAGCACTGGTTTTCTTAACAAGATGCGTACTAAAATGTCCTTCCCACATGAAATCAGCGCTTCTGGAGGCGATGATATCGTCGAGCGTCATTTTCACATCAGTTTGAACACTTGAAGCATTTCTTACTCAAGAAGTTGTCGAGATGGTTGGAAAAGGGGGTATTGGTGAGGGAGAGGTCCAATGAGTAAGACGTGTGGATCGAAGCTTCGTACGCCAGTTTGTTCAATCTTGCGAGGTCGTTTATGGGACATGTGGCTGAGCGCCACCATGAAGGAGGCTTTGTTTACTTCTCTCGGTTGACGAACTTGATGTTTCTAGAGCATCTCATCGGTATGCTGGAGAGACATTGGTGTTGTGTCAAATTCACCTGGTTTCCAAGAGCTGGGTGCATCAGTCCCGTGGAAGACCGCCGAATGTTCAGCTCAACATTGACCTTCTATAATTTCGGCTTTAGAAAAGTTTTTGAAGATTCATCGCGGTCTAACTATTAGAGGATGGCTTCCTGTAGTCGTAAAGAGTCCATTTCCATCGTAGATGACAATGCATTCCGAATACTAGTAGTTTTTGTTACGTAAAACGGGTGGAAACGACCCCTTGGAAGACGGTATTGCTGCTGCTTCAGTCAGCCCATGCGGAAGCCACCTGTTCAGCTTTTTCACCTCCCCAATTATCTTCAGAGCCACAATATTTTCAATATACCTACTTCTGGTCCTACTGCTTGCTATAGCACAGTTAGTCTGGAATCATCTTCTACGGGAATCTTCAGAAGGCCGTCGTCAACAGCAGAAGCATGCTCATGACTCCCCTCACCTTCACTGTGGAATTCTTCTAAACCAAAATTTTGGAGCCAAGGCTGTGCTGCGCTTTTATTGGTGCTTCCTTGGCCCCATCCTTCAGTGTTATTTCGACAGGTCTATGGAGCACTACGTCAGAGTTTCAGCACATCGAAGAAAACTTGCCCAAACCACTGTCTTGACACCTTCAGTTCAAATCTATAAAAAACCCAAGATAACAAGTCAAACTGAAATTCAAATACACTGGGGGAAAGAAGATAGAATAGGCTTGCCAATGATATATAGGGCTTCAGGTCTCAAATGAAATTTCAGTATAAAAATATTCCAAATATGCATGGCATCTCGAAACCCGCATTACTTTCCGAACAACCTAATATAGATCTCGTGGTAAACTCCTCGGTGCATGTCCTACCCACCAATTAAAAATTGACTTCCTTCCCGTTGTTGGCTTCATCAGCTTTTTCTCCGGCCTAGCCCCCCCCCCTAAGCCTGGCGACGAACTTAGCCCACTTCATTGCATGCTCCGCCCCCTACTAAGCATTCACTTCCTTTCCTTCAAAGACCTCTATCCACTTTTTCTTCGGTTTCTAGAACTTTCCAGAACCACTTTATAGGCTTAGTAATAAACCCTGCCCACTATAGTACATGCCCCGCCCGTCGACGGAAGTGACTTCCTTTTCTTGGCCTACCTCTATCTACTTTTTTCTCGGTCTTCAGGTATTCCAGCGACCAAATTATGAGGCTGGTACCAAACTCCGCCCATGGTGTATGCCACGCCCAGCACTGATATGTATGTTGGGGACACCTTTGACACTAACTCCCTTCAACAGTTCATGCACTGCTCTTCGTTCTACCAAACGGTGTCCTCCAAACCGAATTACGGAATTTCATTAGGCGCTGCTTCTTTAGAGAACGCCCTCCAACCGAAGGGTGGGTCTCCCTAATTCGAAATCTGACTTATCCAATGCACACCTTTAGCCCACTTTTTCCTAGTCTCTAGGCTGTTTTGGAATCTAATTTGAAATCTTGGTCGTCAGTAGCACTCACTTCGACAGAAGCTGATTACCTTGAAACGGGAATTCAGAAGGGCCAAATGGCGGAGCTGTGAAAAAACCAAGATGGTCGACAACAAGGAAGTGCGCCCTCTTCGAGCCATCCCGGCGGTGCTCGTGACTGTACACGCCCACCGACTGCCTATCCCTTCGCCGTTTGACACTAGTTGTGTCAGCGAGGGGACGAGCAGAGCATCTACGATGGTAAAGTCAGCATCGATAGACTCGCCTCAACGCCGAAATCAACGTGGAGAATGGGCACCCCATTTCGCAGGTTCTAATGGTTACCTGTTATTCATAGGGGTTCTCTCTATATACATGTTTGACCTCCACTGTCTTCATCTCTGAAGAGCGGTCAGTCTACCGTAGCCCCTCGAGGTCTTATCTTGTTAGGACTAAGCTTTCATTAATATCAATAATTATACGGAAAGATTGTATTATACTTCTGCCTCAAGGTTGTTAGGTGGTGAATTTTTTATTCTGGCCAGGCGTTTTCAAAGGCCTGAAATGGCTCAAAAATTACGAATTGCACACTATCCTACCAAACGCCTCCTCCGCTCTAGCGTTTCTGACGTTCCGTCAGGAACGCTCGGAAAACACCCAAAATTCGAAAGATAAGCTCACCTTTACCACCGCGTAAGTGTAGCAGGGTGCCGCACACAATCAGTACATTAGTAGCGAATGACCTTACTGTTATAATGTTACAACAGAGCAAGGTTCATTACTAATGTACTGATTGTGTGTGGCACCCTGCTACACTTCGCCTGTCGTGGCCAAGAGCGCAAAAATATCATCCCATCCCCATGTCAGTCAAACTTAATAAATAAAGAAGGAAATGAAGTACCCATCATGGGGGCCCTTGGGAATGAATGAGACGATTGCACAGCGCCACTACGGCTACTTGACCAACAATTCTAAGATACTTCAGGGGGAACACAAAAGCAACCTCTGTTGGGAACGCCGTATGGGGAAGACGGGTGGAAGACGAGGCGGGATGTAAAAAATTCATATCTTGTGAGTGCAAGTTTAGCTCTGCCGTGAACCCGCTGAAGATTGTAGTACTGGAAGCTTACCTTAGCATTGAACATCGCATCCCTTCGCTGGCTTACTTTTCGTCTCACTCTCGCCATTTCTTCGTGCACAAGTGCTGGCACATTTTTCTCGATAGCAGCTCGTCCTCGGTGGAGCGCTGCCCGACAGGTTTCTCTCTAAACTCAAGATTTCTTCAGTTCATAACTTTTGCGAAATCCATTCGAAATTTTGAAATGTTTAAGCTTATTTTGTTGGATAATTTTGTCATTCGTAGTAAGACTTCAATATTAGAAAATCAACAGTTCAGGGATAAGTTAATGAGCATATGTAACTGCGTGACACAAATGAGCTTGGGCCACGCATTTGACTTTAGCAAAAAAGTGCTATACCTCTGTGTATGCCTGCTTTCCGCAATGGACTTGTGGTTTTGAGCCGCTGATTATTAAAAACCTTGTTCTTACAGACAGCTTGTTCCAAATGACCGCTCATAAGCGGTCGTATGGCTTCGTATCCCGGGTGGAGTAGCATCCCTTGAATGCTGTGTTTTTGGTGCCACTTGGGCTGTGGCATTATGTGTTCATGCGTCTAGAGAATCGCCTTGTGTATTTTTTCTGAGTGAAAACCCATCTGATGGATTTTAACTTCAGCTCATGGATAGCATTTGGCACTTAAACAATTGAAGCAAGCTCACCAAACTTACAACAGCCGTTACTGCAGATTAGAGAGGATTTGTATATGATAAAAATGGGAACTGAAATATTTATTGCTATTAATATTCAACTGCTACACTTCTAGAAGTGATTCATGTAAGAATGGCACGTCACGCCGCCTCTGACTTGTGATCCAATTCCAGACCGATTCCCACCCAGGCCAAGGGAACTTTCCGGTCGCATCTTTGTAGCTGGATAAGAACGCTTGCATATACGAGAGGCCCGAAAAATCACTAACCATAGCTTGAATCAGCAAACTTTCCGTCGCACAGTGTACAACCGTTGATGAGTTTTGTGACAAAATATTCCTGTGTCCCCTCATAAGAAGGAGCACGACTCACCGTCTTCCGAATATACCGTCATTTGCCATCTTGGTTAAAGGCAAGATTCAGTTTAAATTGATGAGGTAATTCTACTCAAATGTGATGTAGGGGTGGGAGGTGGACCGCCAGTGGAGAAAAAAGGAAAAAAATCGTGAAATACACAGGAAATACGAGCCTTTTGCTCTACGCTGCGGAGAAGTTCAAAAGGCCGGCAGGGAGATGAGAGATAATGTGAGCGCGGAGAGCGGTAGAGAAGTCCGAGAAGAGAGAGCATAGCAGATCAGCATTGCGACGCAGACAAGATATCGAGCGGTGGGCGGAGCGTGTCGCAACAGGTGGAGCGTGTCAAAGTCCTTGGCCCCTAGCGCCTTAGTGACGCATTTCGATGCGGGAACTTGGCGAGTCGCCTGCAGTTGCGTCCCATGCACTTCTAGCCACTTTAAGGGCTTATTAGGTGGGTCTGAGCCCGAACTTTGCCTTTAAGCTCAAGGTGGTCTACCGTAATCACTTCAGTTTGAAGCTACTGCATGATTTCTTCAATCGCTTTACTGGTGGTAATTTTCTGAAAACTGTAGCTCTTCGTATGAAAGAGCCCCCGACCAGCTTGTTAGAAATCGTCTTGTGGGTCTACTATAAGTCGAGGACCTCGTTGAGCTCGAACCGTGCACCATGCATCCTCTGAGATTCTTCTGAAATCTTCGGTGTAGAAGGCCTTCGTGGTTTTTTTTTCGATAGATTGGCATGTGCTCTTCAGTTTTCTTATGAGGGTATTAGTTTGATTCTGGCAAAGTTTTATCAGTTCCGTTTCAAAGTGAAAGGAGAATGACTTCTGCCCTGCTCTCCTCTTTCTGTACAATTCCTATCAAAACGAGAAGAGCGTTGGGTGCAGACCATACACCACAAGTGACGACGGCCTCCAAGTAAATCTGGTTAGTAGTGGTTCATAGTGATAGCTGATTTTTGGTAAATGATAGTTGTAATTAGTGACAACTGATAGAATACAACTGCAACAGGCTAATTTCATTGGCAGAAAACATTTACATTTTGTGGAGGCCGTCGTCACTTGTGGTGTATGGTCTGCACCGACGCTCTTCTCGTTTTTTTGAAAGTCGTATATAAAGAGTTGCCAATCTTGCCTATCGGTAGGTCAAACACGTCAAGGGCCACTACACCTCTAAATAGACCACAAACACGTGGCGCATCTTGAGAAAATTGATTTACGCCAGTTATCAACCTGTTATTACTTATCATTACAACAAATTACTCGAATATGTTGAAGCGTTTAGTTTGAGATTCAAAGTCCATTGAGTAAATATGAAGTGTCGGGTTTTTTAGTTACATTTGGAGTAAAACAATATCCAACTTTATGGGCAATAATTTGGCATAAAAATCACTCACGAAGTTGGCAGCTTCAGCACCTAATAT